TTTTCCAGATTCTAGCTATTGTAAACAGTGCTGCAATGTCATTTTGACTATACTCTTTTGCCTCTCTGGGATATATTCCTAGGAGTGGTATTGCTGGGTCAAGTGGGAGCTCAATTTCTAGTTTTTTGAGAATTGTCCATACTGTTTTCCAAAAGGGCTGAACCATTCGGCATTCCCACCAGCAATGAAGGAGGGTCCCTTTCTCGCCACATCTGTGCCAACACCAGTTGCTTTTGTTCTTTTGGATGTGGGCTAGTCTCTGCTTCCACAGTAACTTTAATTTTGTTTTGCAGCCATTATGCCAGTTATCAAATAGATGGGTGAAATTTCACATGCATACACAGTCAGGGGATAGATGGATGAATGGATAGATGGATGGATGTATGGATGCATCGATGGATGAATGCATGCATTGGTGGGTGGGTGGGTGGGTGGGTTGGTGGATGGATGGATAAATGGATGGATGGATGGATGGATGAATGGATGGATTATCTAAAGGCCTTTGGACTGGTCAGAATTTTCTACAACACTAACAGAAATATATGTTTATTGCTGTTTCTGGCTCATAGCTCCGTAGTAAAATAGGCCTGGTAGATGCTCCATCCTCAGTTCCTGTCTTAGGGGTGCTATAGCTTGTTAAAGAATATTGCTAAAATTTTTTTATGGCTTCTAAGGTCAAAAAAGTATTTATTTTTAGAATTTTTGATTACACTTGGGGGTTGCATTTATTCTTCAGGGCTTATTTCTGACTTTGAACTCTGGGGTCACTCCAGGTGGGTTTAAGGGGCCATATGGGGTGAATTCACAGCTGCTTCTCCCTGGAGGGAGCATAAAATGGGGCCCCCATAATATGCCACCAGACTCCACACCAGGCTGTTTTCATTCGGGGTGCCCCAGAGGGGGGCGGGTGAGAGCCCTCCCCACCCCAAGGGACTCAGGGCCAGCAGCCGACCTCCACTACCCAACCACCACCATGCTCCAGGTCGCTTTCCACATGTTCAGGCCAAGCCTCACATATGAGTGAACATATTCCTGGACCACGCGCTGCTTTCACAGCATATATATATATGCCTCTAGGAGAGCCCAGCAAGCTACCAAGAGTATCCCACCTGCACGGCAGATACTAGCAAGCTACCCGTGGCATATTCGATATGCCAAAAACAGTAACAATAATGGGTCTCATTCCCCTGACCCTGAAAGAGCTTCCAATACACCAGCATTGGAAAAGACAAGTAAGGAGAGACTGCTAAAATCTCAGGGCTGGGACAAATGGAGACGTTACTGGTGCCCGCTCGGGTAAATTGATGAACAACAAGATGACAGTGATACAGTGATGGTGTACCAGGGACCAAACCCAGGTCTGCCATGTACAAGGCAAGCACCCTGTATTACCATACCAGCCCCCCCAGGTAAATAATTTTTTATGGAGAGTCTTTATATCAAGAACCCCCAGGGAGTTTTGGGAAGTCCTTGGCATAGGTTCAGTGCATTGTCACACATTTGTTGTTTCATCTACTCCTGCCATTCAGGCGAACACCCAGTTACAATATATGCCTAAGTCATAAGACCATAGAGTCCTGTTTTTGAGAAATCCAAAGGATTCAAGCCCATTTCAGAATGTCTGCAATTACCCCATTAGAGAAACTAATGACCTACTCAATATTCATAAGTATCATTAAAACTTGCAAGCAACTATTATCGACCATGGGCCTGGAAGTGAAATATCGGTCATATCAGTGTATCAGTTGTGTGGTGACTATGCACTTTCAAAGGGAATATGGTCTGGTTTGGAGAGAATTGTTCAGGAATGGGAACTGAGTGCTCAGATGAGCCCTGATTCATCCTGTCTTCTGAGACCAAGAGGGATGCAGCAAACAAGTGGGAGGCAAGAAGGTGGGGAAGCCGAGGTATAGTTAGTGGGGCACTAGTTGTATTTTTAGTGGAGTGAGAGAGGCTGGGTAGAGCTTATGGTGAGAAAGTAGAACACGGTACAAGAAAACAAAGTAGAAAGGACTGCTGGAGGCCTATAAAGACATGTATAAAAAATTATTGAGCAGCACTTAGGGTGCAGTTGGATCTTGAATTAATAAATATATAAAGGATCCATTGTCAGGGTCAATAATTTTCTCTACTGCTGTTTGGCAACCCAGAGACAGATTCAGGAATGATAAAAGGTTGGAAGGAGGCATTATTAGAGTCTGCAAGATCAAGTAGTACAAGAAAATTGATGGTGATTATGATGTGATTGAAATGACAGTTCATTGGGTCCCAAGAAAGTATAGAAGAAAGGAAAGTCAGCGGGATCACAGATGAATTTAAAGTTCAGATATAATGAGTGTGAGACTATAGTTAAGGTGAACAGAAATAAAGTTGTATTCTGTATTCAGTCCCTCTGCCTGACATAACAAATCACCGCAGAATGACTTAAAACCACTGAAATGGAGCTGGAGAGATAGTATGGTGGGCAAGGCACTTGCCTTCCATGCTACCAACCAGGGTTCTATCCCCAGCACACATATGCCCCCTTGATCACCGCCAGGGTGACATCTAGGAATAGCCCCTGAACAACACAACCAGACACACACACACACTCACACACACCACAAAAATGAAACAAACAAAACCAGAAATAAACAAAACTGAAAATTAACCACATGAAAACAGAAATGTATTCACTCACAGTTTGGGAGTCTGGATGTTGAAAACCAAATTGTCACCCAGGCTTGCTCCTTCAGGAGACTGCTGAGGCAGAATCCATTCCTTATGTCTCTTCTAATTTCCAGTGGCTGCCAATGATCCTGGGAATTTCTTGACTGGGAGGCACAAGGTTCCTTGCTCTGCTTTCATCTCTACATCACTTTCAGTGCATCTCTTCTTCTCTTCTAAGAATATTCTTATTGGGCCCAATCAAAGACGTTGTCATCTCAAGATTCTTAACTGATTTATATATGTAAAGACCCTCCTCCCCCCTCTCCAATGAGGGGGCATCCATAGGTTTGGGGTGGATGTATTTTGTGAGGATCCTCATTCTACCCCACATAATCCTAAAGTGGAATTTCAGAGTGACCCTTCCAGAATTAGAACAATACCTGTTGACAATCCCAAGAGATGGCCATGAGAATGAGTTGCAAGAAGAGATAAAAGGGGCTGGAGCGATAGTACAGTGGGTAGGGCGTTTGCTTTGCACATGGCCAACCCAGTTTCGATCCCTGGCATCCCATATGGTTTCCCAAGCACTGCCAGGAGTAATTCCTGAGTTCAGAGCCAGGAGTAACCTCTGAGCATCACTGGGTTTGACCCCAAAAGCCAAAAAAAGGGAGAAGAAGAAGAGAAAAAGGAAACAGTTGGTCGAGGAATGATGGAGCCAGGTTGCTTGGGGGTGGCGGGGGGAGGGGAGATGCTTTTAGGAACTGGGAAGATGAAGACTGGAACTGGGAGTGTATATCCCAGAGGAATGCGAGCAATATTGCTTTGGGAATTGGTACACCAGGGGGCGAGGAGTGGGGAAAAAATGAACCATTGGGGATTCTTGACTCAGTCTCCACTGTGCAACTCGGAGGAGCTTTGTAGATGTACCCACTCCCAACAATTTTCCCATCAATTGAATTGAGGTGGGACCCAGATGTCCGTGATTTTTTAAAAAAATTCCTGGGTCTAAATGTGCAACCAGGATTAAGAAAACTCAGTGAAAGGTGAAACCTGATACTCCAGAAAGAAGTAGTGAATCAGTGTGTTACTGTCCATCCAGATTGGACAGACACATCTGGAAAGCAGACTTTAGAATTTCCCACCAGCATTTCCTGAAAACTCCAAAAGAATCTAGAAGTTAAGAAGCAGGTCAAGACTGGGCTCAGAGTGAAAGTAGAGTGGGTACCATTTGCCTTGCATTCAGCTGATGCAGATTTAATTCCCAATACCCAATATGGACCCAAGCCCTGCCAGAAATAAACTCTTAGCACCACTGGGTGTGGCTCAAAAACAATTATTTTAATAGCTTTATTAAGTCATTAATTTAGTTATATACATTCAATATTCCCACACCAATGCCACCACCATTGCACATTCCCACCACCGTTATTTCCAATTTTCCCAACTGCTCTTGAGCCTGCTCCCATTTCAGGCTCTCAATCATTTATTCTACATTGCTTGTCATAAATAATTGGCAAGTGTTTTAAAAGAAGCAAGTCAGACATGCATTCCGTACCTTCACACTGAGGTCCAGGGTGCCTAGAATTCTGAGCGTCTTCAGATTTGTACCAAAGCTGTGCTTCAGTTATGTTTCAGCAACAAGAAAAAGCACAGAACTCATTTCTAAAACACTTAGTCTTCCTAAAAAACAGTCTTTCCCATCCCATTCCCCCACCAAAGAAAAAAAAAGGTTTTCTTAATGTATTTGGACAAGTATCTTCTGCCAGAACAATACTTCGTGGCTTCCTTTGTATTTTTTTTGAAAATGTAACAAATGCATTAAAATTTTTCACGGCTCATAAAAAGTTATATAATAAAAAGTAATTCTCATTTATCCCTGACCTCTTCATCTCAAGTTCCATCCCCAGAAGCAACGTCTTTTATGGGTTCCCTGAGTCTCCCTTTTTGAGATGAACAAGCTGTATCTTACTGCTTTTATTCCATCTTGGCAATCATGCTGTATCAGTACACACAGATCTGTCTCACTCTGTTCATCGCTAGTTCAGAATGCGAGTAACCTGACAGACATTTAGATTATTTCCCACCTTAAAGCAAGCCCATTAGTTGGAAGATTTTTTCTTTTTAAGCAAGAGGCATTAAAGTGGGCTTCTCACTGAAAATTTCATTGGCCATAGAGTGATTAGAGAAAGCATTCTAGTCTTTTAAACATCAGACTTGCTGAAAGACTAGCTCTGAGGGCAGATTCCTAATAGCTGGGAGCGAAGGAGATTCAGGTGCTCCCAGGGAAGCCGGATGTAGGGAGACCGACCCCAGGGGGCCCCTGTCTCACCATGTGTCACTTCTGCCCACAGAAGCCTGATGCCACGGACCCTCGAGAGCCAGATCACCCTGGAGAAGACGCCCAGCTACTTTGTCACGCAAGAGGCCCCTCGTCGCATCTTTAACATGTCCCGGGACACCAAGCTGATTGTGGTGGTGCGGAACCCAGTGACCCGCGCGATCTCCGACTACACCCAGACGCTCTCCAAGAAGCCCGACATCCCCACCTTCGAGGGCCTGTCCTTCCGCAACCGCACGCTGGGCCTGGTGGACGTGTCGTGGAACGCCATCCGCATCGGCATGTACGTGCTGCACCTGGAGAGCTGGCTGCAGTACTTCCCCCTGGCCCAGATCCACTTCGTCAGCGGCGAGCGGCTCATCACCGACCCGGCCGGTGAGATGGGGCGGGTTCAGGACTTCCTGGGCATCAAAAGGTTCATCACGGACAAACACTTCTACTTCAACAAGACCAAAGGGTTCCCGTGCTTGAAAAAGCCAGAGTCCAGCCTCCTGCCGCGGTGTCTGGGCAAATCCAAAGGCAGAACTCATGTACAGATCGACCCAGAAGTGATAGACCAGCTGCGGGAATTTTATAGACCTTATAATATTAAATTTTACGAGACGGTGGGGCAGGACTTCCGGTGGGAGTGAGCCCCTGGAAGGGCAGAGCCCTTCCGCCTGCCTCTACCTGGGGTTTGTCCTTAGAGCCTGTGGTCTTCTTTCCCCCTCCCTAGCAAACCCAGTCCTTTCCCCCCACATCTTGGGTACCATCATCCTGGCCCCAGGGAAGTCCAGCAAAGGCCAAGGGATGCCCTGCCACCAGCCCTCCCCAGTCTCTCCCAGCAAGCAAATCTGTTTCTGGCACATCCCTTCAGTTCCTTCCAAATTGTCTCCCATGGGCCCTGTCGGAGGCATCGGGAAATTGCTGTCAGAACAGGTGTCCCGATGGTGATGACGGTGACAGACAGCACAAGCCGTAACAGTGCCGTTGCCAGCGCAGCAGTCTGCCCCTGTCGCTGTCCACCTCCAGAGTGGGCTTGTTCATTCCAAGTGGCATGTACCTCCCCTTTGAGCTTAACCCTCTGAGCCCCTCTGGGTGCTGGGGTGGGCTCCGTCCTTGCCTTCCAACCTTAGCGGGAAGCATCCGTTGGCTCCTGGAGAATTTCAAGAGCTGAGAGCATCCCCTCCACCCCACCGAGCCGCTCCTACAAACAGACCCTTTGAGGAGGAAAGAGACCAGACAGAGGTTTCCGAGCTGTGGTCTCAACTCTGCTTGAGGGGTAACTGTCCTGGAAAGAAAAAAATCACTTTGTGACCCTCCCCGCTCCCTCCGAACTGAAGCACATAACTGCTGTTACGGGTACTTTCCTTACGCGAGCTTTCATGCTGAGCATGCGGTAGAATCATGCTTGTCCATGTGAAATAAATATGGCTCTCTCGTGTCCTTAACGCTGGGCTCTCTTCTGTCATCCAGGTCTGGTCAGGAAGTTCCATTCACTCGGTAACCCTCGTGCAAGATTGGATTGGCTCTGAGGATGTCCTGGGTGGGGCAGGCAAGGAGGGCGGCAAGGGGTGGGTAGGAACTGTGAGGAGTGCCAAGACCGCACGTGTGAGAGGCAAGGTAGGGGTGGCGAAAAGGGAAAAGAGGTTCTTGGTGCCAGATTTTGCGGTGGAAACAGCTACTGGGGGTCCATGGGGATGTCCTCTTTCTGAAACTCGAGTCCAACTGTGTCCCCCTCTGACCCTGCTCTCCTAGATGTGCTTAACTTAGAGGCTCCAGACCTGCTGGTAGGAGAGCAATATGTTTGGGGGTTGATCAGAAAGAGTTTTTGATATGATTTCCAACATTTAAAACTTGACAATTTCCGTGTGAAAAATAAAAGGATTTTCTGCTTATGTGTGTGTGTGGGGGGGGGGGGCGGGGAGACCACACCCAACTGTGCTCAGGGCTTCCTCCTGGCCCTGCACTTAGGGATCACTTGTGGTGGGGCTTGGAGGACCATATGCAGTGTGGGGTTCAAATCTGGGTCAGCATTTAGCAAGGCAAGAGCCTTACCCACTGAGCTATCCTTCCAACCCCTCCAGATTTTTCTTGAAACAAAAGTCTGGCTGCTGGAGCTGGAGCCATAGCACAGCGGGTAGGGCATTTGCCTTGCTTGCGGCCCACTTGGGTTCGATTCCCAGCATCCCACATGGTCCCCTGAGCACCGCCAGGAGAGATTCCTGAGTGCAGAGCCAGGAGGAATCCCTGTGCAACGCCTTGTGTGACCCAAAAAGCAGAAAAAATATCTGGCTGCTCTGTATCAGTATGTGAGCCAGGCTAAGTCACCGGTCTCCTTGTCATGGCACCAGCACTGCCTGGACTCCTAATCGGCAGTCATACCTCCATGCCCAATTTGCCACATCTGTGCGGCCCCTGCAAGCATTTCAGCCGGTTGACCAGCCTGCTCTGGACATAGCTCATGATCTCAGAATAATGTCCAGATCTTACAGCGATGTGCCCGAGCCAGTCCCAGTGACAGCGGCTGGCATCTCTGCTTCTCCTCTCTCTGCTCCAACCACACAGAACTCTGGGCCCTTCCAAACTGTGTTTGCCTGGAAGTTCCCAGCCACACTTGTGAAAGTTCGTTTCCAGCTCTTGGGAACCCAGACTCCCTCGAGATTGCACTCACTTGTTATTGGCAGGATTGTCACGCAGCCTCTCCAGTGCTCTCCTCTGCTTGCACTGCTCCTGCTTTCACTCGGGAGGGGGTGCACATCTCAGTCAAATGGGAACCACATTTGCTTCTTGTTCTTTGTGGAAAGTCTGTCTTCACCGTGAACACCACCGTTCATTTCCTGAAGGTCCCAATGGCCTCTTGCACATATGGAGAGATCTGTGGAAGGATGGGTGAAGGGATGGATAGAGGATAGGGCCAGGAGACACGAATGGGGCATCCCAAGGTGGCACACTTCCCAGATAACTTCAGAAGGACTGCTGAAGCCCTAGGGGCCTCCTGGCCCTTGAGCTAAAAGGCATGCTGGCAGGCCACAGAAAAATCAGACTCTGATTTGCAAGAAACAAAACTCTAAAATTGAGGCCAAAGTGACAGCACCACAGGGAGGGTTTTTTGCCTTTGCACGCAACTGACCTGGGTTCCATCCCTGGCATCTCATCTGGTTCCCTGAGCACCACCAGGAGCAATTCCTGAGTGCTAACCCTGGAATAATTTTTTTAAAAAGCCAAAAAAATAATGAAAATAAAAAGCCTAAAACATTCTTTCCTGCAGTGGGCACCAGACTATCAAATGGCTATCATGGTCAGGAAGCCTTTTCGGGGAGTCTGGATCTCTCTGTGCTTCCCCTGTGGGCATGGAGAGGTGAGAAGAGACTGGATGAGGTGGGTGCTGAATTTCTGCAGCCAAGATGATAGTTCAAGGGAGATGGAATTATACTGGGAGGTGGAGGAAACACTCGGGGGGTGGCGGGAGGGGGGAGCTTGGTGAAATCCATGTGTTTATCCTGATGGAAGAAGAGTAGTCATGATTGAGGGAAAATTCTGAATTTGGAGTGTCCAGATGTAACTGTAGTCATTGGCATGACGACCATCCGCAGATGAAGTAGCCTCTGGGTAGAAAGGAAGAGGTCGGCCTGTGACAATGTGTGTACCAATCATTTCATGCAAACAAAAGTCCCAGGTTAGGGGGCCAGAGAGATAGTACAGCGGGTAAGACATTTGCCTTGAGCGAGGCCATTCCAGATTCGGTTCCCAGCAATCCCACTGGACCCTCAAGCCACCAGGAATGTTACCTGGAGTACAGGACCAGGAATAAGTCCTGATCCTCATTTAGCGTGGCCCCCTAACCAAAATTTTTTTTTAAATCCTTTCTAAATAAGTAAAATTTGGCGTGCATAAATCTGCTCAACAAACTGATTCCTAATCCAGAGCAAATGTACTCTTTTGCCCAGACAGCCCCAGAGCAAACTTGTACAAATTCCAAATTACTGCCATTTATATTGATGTTTTACTATTCATCTGAGGCTTAAAATCCTTCTTCCAGTGTACGTGGGGGAGGCAGGGAGAAGGGAGAGCCATTGCTCAAAACTAGAAATTGGGCTTCTAATCTCCCCTGACCCAGAAAGAGCCTCTGATTGTTGGGAAAAGACGATTAAGAAGAGGCTGCTAAAATCTCAGGGTTGGGGGGAATAGAGACATTACTGGAGCCCACTCGAGTAATTCCACGATCAATGGGATGACAGTGATACAGTGAATATCCCCATGCATCACCATTTGGAATGACTTTCCCCCTCTCTGCATTCCACTCATCAGGAAGGGACTTGAGAAAATGAAGATTGTCCAGAGACAGGGTCAACTGATTTGGAATTACTCCAGGAAGGAGCTTTGCTCTGGAAAAGGTCCAGGTGCACCCCATGGTTGGGGGGCGGGGGAGCTAAGAGCTCAGGGTTCTAGATCCAAAAATACTCTGGTCAACCAAAATGAGATTTCGTTCTGGGGCCTCTAGTTTGGCACTTCTGGACCTAGACTCAGAGATAGACACCATTTCTGTCTTTCTGGTCCTGAATAGGAAGTGTGGCCCAAACATACTGAAGCTGGCAGCCATGTCTTGCCTCTTCTGGGCCCATGACTGCAAAAGTCGAGTGACGGGGCCAAACAGAAAGCACAGCACATAGGGTTGGCTCATGGCCGAACTGGTTTTGATTCTTACATCCCATCAGTTCCCCCGAGCATTGCCAACAGTGACTCCTGAGTGCAGAACCAGGAGTAACCTCTGAGTATTGCTGGGTGTGACCCATAAACAAAGACAAAATAAACAACAAATAAAGTTGAGTGTCCGAGTTCTCTGGAGTCCGACCATTGCAAGTTCAAACACTTGATCTCTGGGACGTGCAGGGAATCATGGGACACAGCAGGCTCTTCAGTTGAGGATGCCACATTGCCTGTGAATTGCAGTGCCACCTTCACTCACATGACCTTGAGTGGAACATGGTTCCTGAGTCACAATTGGGTGCCAAGGAAGCTGTAATATGTGTCCCTCTGTTTAGGTGAAGCATCTTAGCTTAAAGGGAATACCCCAAAGAAGAAGGGGAATGTTTTGGGGGTCACCTTTCTTGGTCCTAGAATGTGCTCCTCACTGCACTGGTGGGTGGTGTTCTCTCTGGGGTTCCAGGAGCATCAGTCTGTGAACATGCCTCTCTGTGCCTCGGGGGTTTGGCTCTGGGCAGTCTGCCAGGCTACTCCTTATCCTTCCATTCTGGCTATGGATAAGAAATTATGGGGGGTGGGGTCAGAGTGATAGAACAGCAGGTAGGGCGCTTGCCTTGCACATGGCCGACAGTTCAATCCCCAGCACCCAATATGGTTCCCTGAGCACCGCCAGGAGTGATCCCTGAGTGCAGATCCAGGGGTAAGCTCTAAGCATTGCCAGGTGTGCCCCCCCCCTCAGAAGTCATAGAGGTGAATGCCCAATTATGGAGGCCCAGTAGGTATGCACTTAAATCCCACCCTGTTCTTTTCTAGCCTGGCCCTGTTAGCTGACTCTTTTAAGTAAGTTTTAGCACAGTCCATTGGGGAATAAGATGGATCCATGACCATTGAGAGACTGTGGGAAAGTACTTGTCTGCCACAGAATCGTGGGTTCATGAATTTTTCCTTCCCTCTCGTAGATGTAGAAAATGTCACAGCTCCTCCCCTCCTGGGGACCTTGATCTAAGAGCCGGGCCTCTAGAAAGTTCCTCCATCGCAACTTTTCCCCAGAACCCAAGAATTAAATCACCTTCATACTCTGAGATCAGGGGACTGAGTCTATATTGCTGAGCAGCAGAATTTCCAGCCCAGTGACCTCAGTTCCCATCACCCCCAGTACAGGGTGATCACTCACTCTGGTTTTTCCCAGGACAGGTCCATTTTGTACCTATCAGCAGGGAGAAATCATTAGCATTGTCTCTTTCCATCTCAACCATGCCCCAAATAGCCAGTAAATCCTCACAGGTCCTCAGTGATTTTTGTGTCAATATTATGCCTCTGCTCTGCGCCTGCCAACTCCACTTGGGCCACAGTCTTCTCCAGTTCCCCTCTCCTTGGTGCTCTTCACCACACTTGTTACTCTACTCTCACCCAGCACCCCGCTATTTGCTTATTCTCCTGGAGGGCTGAGTCTCAAGATGGCCCCACTCCTTGTCATCATTCATGTCTCAGCTCAAACATCTCCTAAAGCTGCTTCCCCTCTCCGGTCTCTCCTTCTCCACCTTCTAATTCTGTCTCCCTTAGAGCACTACCCCCTCTCTGATCTTCTATATGAGATTATTTGGAATCTGCTTCCTCCAGGGCTCTGTAGGTGCCTTCAGTGTGGAGACTATGCCCGCTGTTAAGCATTACTTGAGTCCATCAGTCAACTACGGGCCCCAATCTGGACCCCAACCCTTTGACTCTAGTCATAGCTGGGAACCAT